TATATATATATATATTATATATATATATATATTTGTACAAACATACGGAGGCATGCAGGTGTTTGTCTAAATGTATGTAGATGGGCAGCAAAGATTTTGTTTTGTTGTAATTTTTCTCAGTACCTTTAATTATACCTTCCTCCACACCTCAAGAATATTCAATAACGATAAAACTGTATTACTCTGCCATCCTATAGTTATCGCTCCCACCACAACTCAAAAGAGGAAAACACAGTAAAATCAAGAGTACTTTGAAGAAATGTGGTCTACCTTTGTAATCTTTTCTAGATCATCTATTCCTCCATCAGTAATGTCATCACCAAATATAATACGTTCAGCACAGCGGCCTCCATGAGCTACTACCATTTGCATTTTCATGTAGCCAAAGGTTGTATAACCTTGATCAACCACATCTTCTCTAGGGTAGAAAACGGATATCGCAGTTTCCTGCTCATTCAAACGAGCAATAGTTCTGAATCAACAAAAGCCGGATTGAATATAACATAACTCATGTTCATGTAAAACACAATACCTTGCCACCAGGTAGAAGCTGAGAAAAAGCATGCCAATCAAACTGAGGGAACAAGTGCGCCAAGACAATGTGACCAGCTTCATGGACTGCCAACAATCGTCTTTTTTCACGAGATACCTATTACAAGATTTTAAATGATCATAACAATAAACTCATATATCATGTCTCTCTTCTAGGAGCAACAGGGAAAGACTGCATACACTCTGCTCACACTTCTGCTGCTCTTCCTCTGTCAGAAGCACACCCATACCCTCAAGCAATTGCTTGTCCAAAACATCAATAATATCCTTCTGGTCGATCTTAGAATGTCCTTTCCTTACCTGCGTATAAAATTCGATTACTTAAGCAAATACCCTCGAGAAAATGGAAAACCAGAAAACATTTTCAGTCATACCGAAGATTAAAGAGGACATAGTTAGCATATATCAAGTAAATTTTTAAGTTTTAATTAGTTTAATCAGTTCTCAAAGTCTGGAAACTTTGGTGTACTCCTTGACATCAATCTGCGATAAAGAAGTTAAGTTGGAGAGCAGGCCATGCATGCAATTTAAGTTATATCTGTTCAATTCTGGGGTTTGTAATTTGCCCCTATCATAGATACATTTATTGTTGAGATTGGTGATTCTTAAAAAGCACTTGTTTGCTTGTTTACTCTCACTTGTAGTGACAGGCTGACAGCTCTTATATTTAACTTCTGACTTTGGTTAATTCCCCTGGCATCTGCTCCACAACTTTCAGTCACAGCCACCTAAGTTTGTCATATTTTACTCTGTTCTTAGAATATTATATGCTATCCTATCCACCCTCTAATTTATGTTTTTAAAATAATACTGCGAACTCAAACGTTACAGCAAAAAGCTAATTAAATGATCTCAAATCCGCCAATTTACTGTTTCTATGAAAAGAAATCCATGGTGTGCTCTACAAGTCTCGTGGTAATAATGTGATTTTTAAGTCAATTGCCAATAACTTGCCAACATTGATTTAGGAAAACAATACTAGTCAAGGAAACAATAGATCAATAGATATTATGAAGCACCAATAGTGATTACAGAAGTTTCTGGGTCAAAATACAAAGAACAAACTTACAGACATTATTCCAGCTTCATTGACTAGATTTCTTATGTCTGCTCCAGAATATCCAACTGTACGAAAGACAAGCTGCAACACCGCAAAGGAAAACAATTCAATCAAATTCCTAAACCTGAGCCTCAACGTCAGGGGCTCCAAATGGAGGGTTTCATCAGTATACATCAAGTAATTTAAAGAAAAGAAGTCCATTGTCTTCCCACACTAGGTATAAGGAAAAGGAAACAACTGCCTTTTGGCCTGTGAAGTAGTAGGGTTGCTCTTGACCCCTTCAAAATAGGCAGTATATAATGTGAAAGTAATTTTTTGTTCAAAGAAATCAAATGAGATGAAGAAATTCCAAGCTAGTAACAAAAACGAATAAAGCAAGCAATTTACTTTCTCAAAGTCAACATCCTCTGAAAGCTGCTTCCCAGCACTGTGAACTCCAAAAATTTGCACTCGTTGCTTTGCATCTGGTAAACCAATATACACCCGTCTGTCAATACGTCCAGGGCGCACAAATTCTAAGTCGAGTTCATCTGGCCGATTGGTAGCACAGATGAATATGACAGCTTGTCTTAGTGAAAACCTATCAACACCAGTTTTTTCTTTCCTGCACAAACAAATCCAATATTATCTTGTGCAAAACAAAACAAGAACATAGGAGGGCAAAGTGGCTTTGCCTTCAGTACTTCTAGAATATTAGCATAACGTTTTTTGGTATGTATATTACTATAACCTTCTAGCTCTGGCAGTGCACTACAACAACAGCAACCCAGTGGAATCCCACAAGTGTGGTCTGGGGAGGGTAGTGTGTATGCAGGCCTTACCGCTAACCCCTACTCTTGCAGTGTACTAGTAGATAAACATATAAACCAAAATGACATCACAGAAGCTTAGATGTTTTTTTCCCGATCCAGTGGAGATGGGTGGGGCCAGTAGCTCACTCTACGAGATCGCAACCCTTTGTCCCGGGGCCAATCTCTGTCCAAGACCATTACATGCCTTAGAAGATGCAAGCAGCACATGTGCCATGTCTTTCCCTTCTTTTGATTAAGAAATAAATTTCATTAACGAAGGGCAAAAAAGGCACGTATACTAGTACACCAAAAAGTAGAAACCTTACGAAAAGATAGGAATCACCCAATCTTCTATACATATGGGAACCTTGTGAGTGCACCAAAAAGCAATAGGGGATAAGAGACCATTCCTCATCATTTTCTACTCCTTCAAAAGCTCTCCCATTTCTCTCTCTCCAAACGGTCCACATAAGTGCAAGTGATGTCAGCATACTAATTAAACTGTTAGGTGTTGCAAGTTAGTCAATTGCCAAGACACTAATTTCAACTCATATTTGTTTATAGTTTGACAAAAACTCCAATTTCAAAAGATTTTTTATTTTATCATATCAGAAAACTCATGACTCAATGGCAAAATTTTTCACTGTCCAGAGACTGTAGACAGTGTAGGGAAGAAGCGCGGAAAAATTCATGATGAGAAGGGGAAAATGTTCTTTAGAACCCATATCCAGCACTGCAGAATAAGATTCTACATCAGATCTCATCAAAAGCAGCAGATCATACTGCTCTCTAATATGAAGTTTTATTTGCAAAGAAGAGAGTGTTATATCCATGGAGTGAAACTAAGATACTCACTCCCCATCAAGCTGAGCAATAAGAGCCTCAAATGTTGCTTTCCTGCGAGGATCATTTCTTGCATGCCTTCCAGCAATAGCATCAATCTCATCTATAAATATAAAAGCTGGAGCCTACAAAGAGGACAACAGAATGTAAATTTTATCCCCTTGAATTAGCACGAGTACATCGTGCGGGGCAGGGGAAGGGGGGGTGGGGGGAGCAGAAATCACATCATAGTGAGAATTCTCAAGAGAAGTGACAGGTCCTATTACTTGAAGGCTAATGACATCAGAAAAACATCTCATTAACAGTATAACATTACGGTATGATTTCTTTGTTCAATGATGGAGATTGTATCATCAGAATCGAAGCCAGCAACATAGTATGTTAAAAACTTTGTTAGTTACTTCATCCACAGTAATTACTCAACCAAGCCTCAAGACCTGTTAGTTCGTGTCTGGTGCAAATAGTGAAGCCAAGAGGTTACATTAACATGCATTCAAAGGAGCGTAACAGTTTTAAAGTAACTTCTGCGTTGACTTCACCATAAAAGCACACTTGATAAAATGAGCTTCAGACTTTGAGTTAGACTGAACATCTTGTTATTGCTTTAGAAGCTTCTTTGGAGATTACGTACATGTCACCAGTAGGTTAAGATTTACAAGAAAGGTTAGAACTCAAACAGTGACCAAGCTCCCCTCCCTCTCTCCAACTTGTTTTAGACTGGCGATCCAGTGGCTGTTTCGGTGCAGAGATCATGTGAGGAAAATTTGTTACTCTGAGGAACATTCCCATCCCTATACGTCAATATTGTAACTAGAAGAAATAAACTCACATTTCTCCTAGCAATAGAAAACATTTCATTGATTCGCGCAGCACCACTTTTTTCACTATCAGTGAACTCTGCACCAGAAGCAAATACAAAAGGCATCCCACTTTCCTTTGCAAGTGTCCGAGCGAACAGTGTTTTGCCTGTTCCAGGAGGCCCAGACAGAAGCACACCCTGCCATGCATTAAAATGAATCAAACTGAACAAGATTTGCATAATACATAGTTTTAGTAAGTCTTGAAAAGATTGTATGAGTTTACCCGCACAAATTTGACATCTTTCTCATAATATTGCATTGGATTTCCCATATAAATCATCAATTCATCCAAAAGATCCCAAACATCTCCTCCCAATACTATTTCTTTATACATCGATTTCGTCTCACCAACTTCTCCAACTGGCTAAGTAGGCAAGGGAATAGGAGTTAAAAGGTGACTGGTATATAAAACAAAATTCAGAAAAATAAAAGAGGCAGGTATTTGATTAGATCCAATAGAGATGAAAAGATACCAAAATAAAATTTTCAGCATAAGCCATATCAAAAAGTTGATTATATTTCTTATAGAGGAGGCGCTTTGTCGTGATGTGCAGAAGCATCATAGATTCTCTTATAAACCACAAAATCAGTATGCCAGGCAATAAAGCAAAAAGAACTTTGAGAAAGTAATGAATTTGCCGCTTCTGAAGTAGATCTACTTCAGCTCCCGAACTTGATATCATCTCAAATAAGAAAGGATCTAGTGGAATATCAACCTGAAAAGGAGGAGAATACATTAACCAGTAAATAGGTCGGTTCAGGAACAGTAATGAATTTATTCTACAAAAGATATATATCTTACGCACAATATATTCAAGTGGGAATCCTTCTTTCATTGTGACAAACACTCTCTTCAGATCCTCCGTGAATACTATAGCAGCCACCTGCGGATATTAAGTTAGTAAATCTAATAAAAAGTGAATCCATATCTACGTGAAGATAATGCATTAGTTTGATTCCACCAGAACCAGAGAACTACAGTTTCCAGCCAGAATTCAAGCAAAGGCAAATATTTTGTTTAACAAATATAAATTTTGCTATTTTCCCTTATGACATCATTCAAAAGAATGAAGAATGGGGTGGCATCACTATTTGAAGTACAATCCCCAACGGAACACTATGCATGCCGTCATGAATAATGCTTTATGACTAGAAGTATCCAACATTTATGTCCACATGAAAGCATTAGAACATAAAGGGACAACCATATCTGAGTATGAAGAGACACGGAACAGAGAAAGCGGAATAATTACCTCAGAAGTATCAAGCTTCTGAAGAAAATAGGTATAAGGAAGTTTAGGACGATATCTCCACCATCTTTTGGAGATCCACAATGCCCTGGCTCCTTGGGTTTCTCTCGTCTTCTCAACCACATCTTTACGAAGGCTGTTCTCAACTTCCTTCATGTCAAATTCAACCACATACCTTGAATTTACTGAATCTAATTGTTCTGCCATCTTCTCCTTTCTAAGAATTTTGTGCCATGCTTGAAGCCTTTCACGCCATGTTCCACCCATATCCTGATTTTCAGCTGAAAAAACAACAGGAAAAGAAATGCTTCAAACAACAACTAAGTTAATCTGGATTCACCCAGGCAACTGAAAAAACACAATTCACTATAATTGTTCATTGAAGTCTAAAAGATTATTCTGGGAATCTCAAGAATTTAATCAGATCAGTTCTAACTTAAGAAGTTCTCCTTAATACCTCTTAGTTAAAGTTCTGAACTTAACTCTACTTACTACACCTCTGCTTGGCAAACTTACCTAAAAGTTTAGGAGTGGTATCATGTAAAACATATAAAAAAAACCTTCGCACCATGTTATTTATGCATTTTACTATTAGATACGTATTTAACCAAAATTAGCTCGGCCTTTCTGGAGGAAAATGTTCAATCCAGCTCCTTGAAATTACCTTAATCTGGATGCACCCAAAAGTGAATTTAGATTTCTATGTGATATGGTGAACCAGAAAATTGACAGTAATTACATCTCTTATTATATGTTCATTTATCTTTGACGAGGCCATTTGATATAACTTTTCCACATTTTATGATGTATGATTCCTTCCGCACTAACTGATAATCTCAAAAAGAAAATTAGAAGAAAAATCAGGACGTGCCTCGGGGCAAGGTAGCCTCTACACATCCCGAGGTGATAACGGGTCTAGTGCCTCAATAGGTGAGGCATTCGCCCCTCATGCACGCTTTACACCTTGACTTTTTTCCCTTATGCCATGTGCGCGCTTTTACACCTTGGAACGCATTGACTGTATTGTACCCCGAAACATATACGTTTAAATTATTTTCCAGGTTTCCAGATTGTTTTCATATTTTAATATACTTTTAAAATAGTTTTCATATTAAAAGTTCAAAATCCGTGGGACTGATGTCCCATGCCTTGAGATTTACACCCCACCCCATAATAGATCAAATGCTAAAATAACAATCCACCAGTTTAAAAGTTCACTAATATTTTGGGGAGCGAAAAAGTAGAAACAACAAGATTGCAGAGTGCAGCTTATTCATTTTGAAGTAAAATAAAGTCAAAGATACTGATATACTACTACACAATTCTTCTCATTGTTCATTGAACAGGAAACCATCAAGAAGGTTCTTCTTTCATCCTATATAAGACATAAAAAGAATATATAGGAAACTACATAACTATGTTGCTAGCATACGACCTATACATTTCCAATGAGGAACTAGAATAGCTTATGTACTGTTATTAACATTTGCACCTCCTTTTGAAGAGGGAAGGATAATTAAGTTTTTACAACATTATGCAAGCCTAATAACAAAACTCACCTGAAATTCCAAGATTCTCTTTCAGAGTCTCTTTATCCTCTACTCTCAATCTAGTATCACGCTCTATCATCTCTTTCATATTATGACTGCCAGTGTCATCTTCCCAAGCATCTTCACCAATGTAGGAACTGTCATGAATAAGAGTTCCATCTGCTGCTTCAATGAACTTCTTTAACTTTAGACCTTTGGGGGTAGTCTTCCTCCACAGACCTTTCTTGAATCTATTAGAATAAATGTCCAAGAACGGAGTTGAGAGATCAAAAAATATCTTAAAGCACCAATTGGATCAAGTAACAACATATATTTGCATAAGGTGGTCCACGTAAATGTGTCCTCCTATGACATAAACTGCATTGAGTTGAATATCTTATAATGGTCCAGATCAAACTACTAGTCTAGAATTTTTTGTTGGGTTTTGTCCCCGTTTTAACAAAAGTTCATGTGCTCAAAGGGTTTTGTTGCTTAATCACGTGCTCAATTGTGCTTATTAGTTGTTCAGCCCAAATTAATGGCATTTAGGAACCTTATTGAATTGAAAAAGGAAATTAGGTTGGACAGAGGTTAGGCAATCTTTGATCTCGTTAGATGGGACTTCTATTTAGAGATTTTATGCATTTAGTGGACACACTAAAAAGCACCCGAGACAATCCTTTATGGGTTAAGCTTAATACGTCCTAATTGAGTGATTTCACATAGACATGCTTGGATTACTTGGTCAGGATAGACCTATAGACTGATCGAAAGATGGGCGAGGTAATTTAATCTCATGTTAATAATTCGACCGACTAGTAATATACCTATCAAATGTGGTAGCTTAAGGAGTCCGTGTGGGTGATTTGCCAGCCTAGACCTCATTCAATTGCTACTTGTAGTTGTTTCTGGGTTTTTTTTCCGATAACCATGGTATCCGGGCAAACTTGCGCACACCTCGACTAATTCTAGATCATATTACATTAATAGTACTACCAACAAGAACAACAACAACAACATACTCAGTGTAGTCCCACAAGTGGGGTCTATGGAGGGTAGTGAGTATGTAGTCTTACCCCTACCTTTATGCAGGTAAAGAGGCTATTTTCGACTGACCCTCGGCTCAAAGCTAGCATGCATAAACACAATAGTATAGAGGAAGACATGCAGTACATTAATAGTACTACCGCTAGAAATAATTACTATAGTTAAGTTATCAACTATAATTCATGGTGCTTTATTATGAATCATAATCCAAGGTGCTTCACATGACTTCTTGTCTTCACAAAGGGGACTAAAGCAACGAAACCCTTAGTTTCTTTTCTTGTTTATAATTGTCGTGAAAGAGTTGAGTTTGGTGTTAAAGAGAACAAACTAAATGGAATAATAAGTTAGGAATAGCCTAATGAAGAGGATCATGCGTCACCAACCAAGAAATTAGGTATTTAAGTCACTAGCCATTCTTGTTCATAGTGGTTGAAAGAGTCCGCTTCATGCCACTAGGTCAAGAGTTCGAGGCTAGTGCGCTGCCAAACCAAAAAAAAAGGAGCTTAGAGAAAAAAAGGCCAATATTAACTCTTGAGCAGGGGTTTATAGGAGTGAGGTTTACCATATCCAATAAAAAACAATTGGAGTAGACCAGAGGTGTTGAAGCTGGAGGAGAAGATCCTAGCTCAGTGCACATTTCGCACAGTATGCTGATGACACCCTTATAACGTCTGAAGTTGACAGAAGACAACTTAGGTATCGGGGTGCAATTCTGATTGTCTTTGAAGCCATTTCTAGGCTCTACATAAATCTGGCCAAGTGTTCTCATTTTCTTGTAAATGAAGTTCTCATTGTAGAGGAATCGGCTGCAATCCTAGGTTGTAGCATCAAGTATCTTCCAACTAATTACTTGGGTATGTATGCCTCTTATATTTAATGGAAGTTATCATGATGGAAAGATAGTTGTCTTTGAGAGGTACCAGTATTGTCAAAGGCGAAAAGCTCTAAAATGCGCTCCAGCTCTATTGGGGTTTTAAGTAAAAAAGCAATTAAAGTGTGAGCTTTAGTAAAAAAAACGCAATGAAGGAAAAAAATACAAAATATATATGTAATTCAACAAAAAAGTAACAAATTCATTTTCCTTAACAGCTAATACACTTATTTGTTGATTATATGAGTTGTTTAGTGCCGCTTGATTCCAGATAGTACACTGCCTTACACTGAAGTGCAGCTTAAGCGACGTGAATCGCTCTCCCAAAGCTTTTCTGAGCTTCAGGATTAAATACGCTTTAAATGAGCCTTTGACGACACTGAGAGGTACACTTATCGTAATAAATAATGTTTTGGATGCTTTACCATCTTATGTGATGCCAGTTTCCCATATGCACTCAAAAGTAGAGAAAGCCATGGACATACTATAAAAGTAATTCCTAATGGAAGGACATAAAGATAAGAAATATTTTCAACAGATAAAATAGAAAATTGTCGGACTTAGCAAACAAGATGATGGTTTGAGCATAACAAATCTAAGAATGCACAGCAAAAGTTTCTTTTCAAGTGGTTGTCAAGATTTGATAAAAAGAGGGGGGTGGTGATAGTAAAATATGGACAAGAAGGTTCATGGTGCAAAAAAGTAGTTTCAAGCTCTTATCAAGTGGATGTTGGAAGCACATCAAAAACCAACAGGAAGCCTTAAATTCAAGGTGGGAGATGGTCTAAGAATATATTTTTGACATGATATATTGGAAGTGGCACACCCTTAAAAGGATTCGTTCCTATATTTCTTTAGCTTTGCTGCACAGGTGCCACTTTAGCACAAAGCAAGACACATTATGGCTGGGACATTTGCTTTAGAAGAGACTGTAATCATTCGGAAGCTGAGAGGGTAAGACAGCTACTAGAAAGCCTGAGAATTCCTTGGCGTTAACTGAGTAGCCAATCCATATTCTGTGTGGGTAACATTTACAGTGTTATACAGCTTGGTGGCTTGTCAAGATAGTAGGGATAGCTGGCCTTGGAAGAAGGTTTAGAAAATCAAAAGCTCCATATATGGTTGCTTGATTTACTGGGAGGCAGCCCACATGAAGCTGTGTTGACACAGCTTAACAAAAGAGAAATTAAGCTGTGTAACATATGCTTTATGTGTGAAAAGGGACTAGAAGATACAAGTCATTCTTTCATCCACTGTTCAGTAGGCTCATAATTGTGGAACCTTCTCCTTAACATCTTGGGGTTAGATGGGTCATGCTTTCTTCTCTAACGGATGTGTACTGGTCCTGGCAAAACAAAGGCCTTAGGAAGGAGCAAAGGAGATTTGAGACGCTATCCCAGCTTGTGTGATATGGGACTATAGAAAGAAGAAGTGGTGAGTGTATTGAAGGAAAAGCTGAAACCACGCACAGATTGAGGTATAAATTTTTGACCCTACTAGTCTTTTGGCTAATTTGAAGGATGTTTATGAATCAAGTTACTTGATAGATTTCCAAAGTTCTATGCAGGCATAATCTATTCCATATTAGTTTGTTAATCAAGAAATCCCTGAGAGCCAGTTGGCGCATGAATCGAAGCTCGGTAGATAATGTGCCCGCCCCTCTAACCTTCTCCACCCAAATACGAGGATTTTGTCTAAGGCAGTGTTCGAACCCGTGATGTGCGCCTAATCACACATCACGCGTCGCGCTATTGCCACTAGACCAAAACCCTGAGAGCCATAATCGTTTCAGTTTTGTATATGTTCTTATGTTTCTCCAACACTTTGTTGATGTTGGTTTTTTTTTCTTTCATTAATTAAAATTCTATTATCAAAAGATGAAGTATAATGTCAAGATGCATCTCAAACTGATCAAAACTCGACATCACATCATTTTATCTGTAAGATGATGAAGCAAGGAACGATCTCTCTGGATATCATCAAGGAATAGAGCTACCAAGTATTCTGTATTCATCATAACACAGTTAGTTGATTGGTGCAGTACTTAATGGTAGAATTCAAGTAATCCTATAAACAAAAATCCAATTTGTTGTTTTACTTTTACATTCTTAGGGATCTACTTGAGCATTACGGATAAAAGGAATTATGTTTACCTTTTGACATTTACAGGAGTAGGTTCAGGAATCAGTGCCTCCATGTATGCCTCTGTAAGTTCTTTTCGCTCCCTATTAATCATAGGAGCTCGAATTGCCATATATATTTTTTGACAAGAAAATACCGTGAATATAACATAGACAATGAAGACGCCAACTCTCTTCGAATCCCATTTCTTGATGTCCTGACGGAACAAAAGAAAAGGGTAGGCATAATGTTAAAAGAGTTTATGTTCTATGCAGTGACCAGTAAAACATATTTACAAAACCAGGTCACTTACAAAATGATAATTATCCTAAGGTTAAAATTTTCTGAAAGTGTAAAAAAATCTTTACACAGTCCGTGTATATAACTTACAACCATATTAAAAAGACAGCGTGAGCACAAATTTTGCAAAAAAAATCAAAGCAATACCAATAAAATTGAAATTGTTCATCTATTTCAAGAGTAAATAATTGGACCCAACAAAAAAGTGAGGAGAAATGCTCAAGTTCACCTTCCAGGACTCGAATTTGTTCCAATTTAAGAAGTCAGGAAACAACTCGGACTTAAAACGTTGGAGCTGAATTTGCCCGGTTTTGGCGGTGTCAACAGCTCGACCAGAAAATTCTGCGACTGTATTTTTAGCATCGTCAAAATCAAAACCGGTCTCTTTCTTCACAGAGTCACCCAATTGCTTGATGAACCGTTCTGAACCGCGGCGAATGGACTGGGAAAGGCGAAGCCAAGAGAACCCTTCGGGATTATTATTATTATTAGTGTTCGCAGAAGAAGAAGCTGAAAATGTAGGTCTTTTCAATTTTCGTCGGCATTTGAAGGGTAGTCTGAGAAAGAGGGGATTTGGGGCGAGTGATTTTGAAGATAAATGTATTATTGGATTCGGCGGGTGAGAAGTTGTTGTGGTTAGATGCATGGAGAAGTTGGGGTATAGAGAACCGTTTGCGCAGCAACTGGAAGATAATGCTGACCCAAGGTGCAGTTTTTGGCTATGGAAGCTGGTCGAAGAAACTGAAATTGTCTCCGCGAAGGGCTTGGGGTTTTTTAGAGGTTTATCTGCTGGCCTTGGTTTAAGTATACTTTTTTTTCTAAACAACGAAAGAAATAGTCATGTTTGGATTTAGAGCCCCTTGACATAAGAATTTTATTATTATTTTTTTTGAAAAAAGTGTTTGGCATAAAAATTTTAATTTTCACTTGAAAATAAATTTTAAAATTTTTTAAAAATTTAAAAGCTCCAAAAAGCTATTTTCAAAATTTTCGCTCAGATCACTCACAAAACTTTAAAAACAACCCAAAATTATATTAATGTCCAAACACAACTCTAATTTTCAAATACCATTTTCACTTGAAAAAAATCATTTTTTTAAAAATTTTACAATTCTTATGTCCAAACCTCTACTTCCAACCAAGAGGTTGTGAGTTCGAGCCATCCCAAGAGCAAGGTGGGAGTTCTTGGAGGGAAGGATGCCGAGGGTCTATTGGAAACAGTCTTTCTACCTCATGGTAGGGGTAAGGTCTACATACACACTACCCTCCCCAGACCCCACTAGTGGAATTATACTGGGTTGTTGTTGTTGTTGTTGTTGTTATGTCCAAACGCCCACTAAAAATCAGAATTAAAAATTTATAAGCCAAAAATCATATAAAAGTAAAAAATGTTGTTAGAATGACGCGAACGTACTTGAGAATAGAAATCATGTAAATGTAAATGTACTTAAGAGATTTCTTCTTAAGAACTAACGCAAGCATGATTACAAAATTATTTTCCAAATGCCATTTTTGAAACACCACAACCAAATCCAAATACAAAGATTTAGGCAATATGTATCTACTTTTTAAGGCCAAATACATATGCACCCCTTAAAATATGTCATTTTCTGTCATTTAGGCACCTGAAAAAAATTGTTTCTTTTGAACACTTGCACACGTAAGTGTGCCTATCAAACACAATTTATATTGTTTGTGGAACAAGTAATGTGTGTGTTCTCAAACGCGCCCAACATATAAAACTCAACCGATTAAAACGTCCTACTCATTTTCATTGTACACATCGTATATAACTAAAAAATTCCCGTTTTGATTCATTTTCCAAATTCTCTCCAGCGTTGCCTTTCTCTCTATGGAATATGTTGCTATCTACAAACTATTTCTCAATGATGGAATTGCTATTTTATATTAAAGATTTTTTGTATGTTAGTGTAGATGGTTCTAATTAAAGAGCCTAAAATCAATGGTTTTGTCCAGGTGGAATTTGATTTAATTTAGTAAATATTATGAAACTCCCAAAAACTTGTGACTTTTTGGATGTGTATGTGAGGCATATTGTGGATTACCTGGAGGTAGTGGAAGATGGGTCCCATCAGATTTCTTTATTGGCCGGTAAATGGTGAAAATGTTAATGAATCGGTTGGAGTTAGGGCAACAAATATGGATACTGATATAAATTCTCAACAAGTTGCTGAGGAAGACTTAGTTGGTAAGAGAATATTTTTACAAGATGTTAATGTAGGAGCGGATGAAGGCTTATAATGATCTTGAGCTAATGAAGATGTTAATGTTGGTATAGGTGATATCTCATATCTCGATGATACTGAAACAAATCTAGATAGCAATCTTGACTCACAAGAAGATGGTATTCCAAAAGAAAATGACTCAAAAGTTAATGAAGAGCTGAGAGCTCCTAGGGAATGAATGAGAAATAAAACCCAGAGTTGACCAAGGTTTAATTTTTAAGTAAACGGCCTATGAATTGTGATTTGATGATTCCAATAGGTTCGTATGATGATTTTTGGACTTAGGCGTATGTCCGAATTTCAAATTTGATGTTCCTAGATGATTTTGGCTCTATTTGCCGAAAGTTGGCAATTTGAAGAATTATAGAGTTCTTAAGTTTGACTGATAATTGACTTTGATGATATCAGACTTTGATTGTTGTTCCGGGACTATGGTTGGGTTCATTTTATTAAATAAAACTTGTGTGCAAAGTTTGGTTGTGATCTAAAGTGTTTAGGCATGAATCAAACGATTGATTGAAAGTTTAGAAATTTATGAACTTAAGAGAGTTTAATACTCCCTCTGTTTCAAATTAGAGGAGCTACTTTCCTTTTTAGTCTGTTCCAAAATAAATAAATGACACATTTGTAAATTTGGAAATAATTCAACTTTAAACTCTTCATTTTACCTATTTTACCCTTAATGAGAAGTTTTTATAACCACACAAATGACATGACCCCACAAAGCTTTTACCCCTTAAGCTTTTAAGACCACAAATTTTAAAAGTCTTCTTTTTTTTTTTAAACTCCGTGCCGAGTCAAAATACCTCATCTAAATTGAAACGGAGCGAGTATGTTATTTGACCTTTGATTCTTTGATGTGATTGTCTCGTATGTGTTTGGAGGTTTCAGATAGGTGTAAATAATATTTATGGACTTGTTGGTATGATTGGACGGAGTCCCAGGGGGTTGGACGAGTTTGGGACCATCCAGAGTATTTTTGGTGTTGCAGATTTTTTGCTGGTGCCAGGTTCTTTATTGCGATCGTAGAGCATGTCTTGCAATCACGGAGAGTAATTTGGGCCGGGGGTCGCTATGTGATAAGTAAGGATTTTGACCGCTTATTTGCTCTCTTTTACTTGCGTTTTAGCTCAAAAATATTTAAAGGTATTCCCGGGAACTAATAAAATATGCTTTCATGCAGGAATATTGGGAGACAAGCCAAAGAAGTCAAAATCAACTCATAAAGGAGTCAAATATGGACAAGGACCAAAACAAGGCAAAAAGGCCCACAGTGCGGACCGCACAATAGTATGTGCGACCGCAGAACAATGAAACACCACTGTCACATGTCCTTCAGAGTATGCGGACCGCACAATTATTGTGCAGCCGCAGAAGAGGAGATTCAGAGAGTTAGTTTTTGGGCAGGCTGAAGATATGCGGACCGCATCATAATTGTGCGGCCGCAGGATGACAAGTGCGGCCACACCCATAATTGTGCTGTCCGCAGAAGAGAAGAATCAAAGAGCCATGTTCCAGTCCAAGTTCAAGTGTGCGGTCCGCATAATCAAATGAAGTGCGGTTGCATCCCTCGTTTATGCGACCGCATAAGGCCCAATTGACCAGTCAAGCTTAGAGTGCGGACCGCATACAGAATTGTGCGGCCGCACAATCTTCGTAGGGGCATTTTTGTAAGATATTTTCAGCTTAGAATAAAATAGAACTTTTTGTCATTTTTAGGGTAAGTTTTGTTTTGAGAGAGCACCTGAGCCGTTATTTTTTACTGTTTTGAGTAATATTGTACTAGATTAGCTTCTAAACATTAGATTTTCTTTCTATAATTAATTATTATGCATTATATCCTAATTTCTTCTTGTATTTCTTCATTTTTCATGAGTAGCTAAATTTTTAGCTAGGGTTGCGGCCCAACCCTAGTGTGGGTACTTAATGGGTGTTTGATTTAGGACTTATTTGTGATTGGGTTAGTGATATTTAGCCTAGTTCTTGGTTGAGTTCAAGAATTAATGGTTGCAAACACTGATTCATGCCTAATTGACTTAGTCTCTACTTGATAAAGAGAGACTAAGTCTAGAAAAACTTGGCTAACAAGAAATTGGGGTGAAGTCAAGAAATTGATAGCCCTAACTAAAGGGGTTGAATCTAGAGATAGTAAGACCCGACTTGAGCATTTATCACTTATTTTGTGCAATACCCATTTGAACTTGAGAAAGCCAATGCAAAATCACTCAAACTACCGAGAGGTATAGAGTGGGTAATTCCGTGTGATTTCTATATTACAACCCGACCAATCAAACTTTTCCCAAAGTTTACAACCTATTAGGTAACCACCTAGGTGGAAGTCACGACCCTAGATCTTTTATCATTTGGAAAACAACCAAAACCAAAAATATCATCTTCTAGTCTTATAATTACAATCAATAGTTTAAAGTAGAAGTAGAAACAACAAACAAGAATGTGGAAGTGTAATCTAAGGCATATCGTACAATTACACTAAATATATACCTAATCCCAATTCTAACTTCCTGAGGATTCGACCCCGACTTGCGTTGGGTTTTATTATTGCTTCGACCGCCTCACCACCTATATTTGTGGTATGAGTTTGGGCGACATCAATTTTTTGGCGCCGTTGTCAGGGAGTTAAACAAATTTAGCTATATATATAGGTTTTTGTGTGATTTGTCTTCTTTTCCTTCCGAGTCACTAATTTTGTTTTTGAATTACTTATTGGTAAGAGAATGGCTCTCAATAACGAGCCCATTGGTAATTTGCCATTGGGGGAGGAAGGGGACGATGATCAAAGAGATGAGGTTCTTCCCGAACCTCAAGCAAATAGGCAAGGCCGACCGCCTCATGATAATGTTTCCGTCCCTCCCCCATCTCCACCAAGAGCGGCAACGTACCGGGTATTGCCGAATGATGGTTATGCAAGTGTTATAGTCCCGCCCTGCATTAGGGCGGGCAACTTTCAAATCACCAACGTGATGCTTACACTACTTGGGCAACGAGGATTCTTCACCGGGGCTCCAAATCAAAATGCTTACAAGCATCTCAAGGGGTTCGTTGATACTTGTTGGGGGAGCAAGCAAACCAATATTTCTGAGGATGCGTTGAGGTTGAGGCTATTTCCCTTTTCTTTACGGGGAAAAGCATTGGACTGGCTAGAGAGATTTCCCAATCATTCCATCCATACATGGTATGAGTTGGACGAAAAATTCATTGCCAAATTCTTCTCTCCAGGGCACATGGCCACACTATGGGATGAAATTCTAGCGTTCAAGCAAGAGCCTAATGAGTCATTGCACGAGATTTGGGAAAGATATCGTACCATGGTTAAAGAGTGCCCGAATAATGATATGACCGAGGCCATGATCCAACAAACCTTCTACATGGGGATCAACACAACAAATCAATGTGTGGTAAATCAACTCGCCGTCGGGAACTTTATGAACACACCTTATGTCGAAGCTTGTGAAATTTTGGATGAGATGGCGGATACCTCATCGGCATGGCAAAGTAGGGCCAATATTCCGCAAGGTGACCCCAATGTCATTCACCTACACAAGG